TTAAATTTTTCTTGGTCGAACTTCCCAACACGGTATCAAAGTCGGGTTCCACACCCTTCGCGTGTGTATCCACCTTGTTAGTCGAAATCTCGCGTGCAAGAGGAAGTGTTGAAACGTCCCACGCCGTGCTTGTTCTGAAAGCTCATATGAATGCATTGCTTAACATTCAAATTTTTTATCATTCCCTCCTCCCCCCTCAGCACTTAATCTGGTCTTTTATTGCCTAATAATATTTAATCGGTGAAGCAAATAAGAGCTCGGAAAGATTTGAACTCAAGACCCCATGCTCTAAAATCATTTAAAATTTTGTGAGATCGCTGCTAATTGCTCTAAAAAATTTAAATTATCGGGTGAATACGTGATATAATATTCAATTATTTTATCGAGATTATAAATTAGAAAACTTCACGGTCAATTACCCAAATTGCACGGTCTCTCGATTTGACATTTGACTGTTTCAATCGGGGCGTTTGGCGTCCCTAAAAGATCCGACTCCACCCTAATTATTTCAAAAGGGATTGAACGCGCCGCCTTTTTCTTTATTTTGACTTTTGAGAGTGCACGATGTCAGATGCCGCTATTTGGCGGCGCTCCGGAATTACCATTTTGGCCCCCCCTCCATGCGGATGTGCGATTAGATTCTTGTGTTCACTTCAATCTTCGATCGAGCCCGGTGAAGGGAAAGCAGGGCGAGGGAGGAAGAGAAATCGAAAACGCATTCCGCAACCGGATAGAACTTTGTGAGGACCAAATGTACTCAGTAGCCCCCCCTAACTTTTTACCAATTTATAGCACCAAGTTGCAGAGAAATTCCTTCTTTTTAGGCCAATCGGGTTCTTGAGCTATCCACTTTTTTACATTTATTTTATCTTTAGACCTCCCGTCGAGCCCAACGGCAGAAAGGCTTAGGTGGCGGCACTTAATTTGGAGTTGACTCGCTCGAAAACCGCTCTCGTCGACGGGGAAATTACTGCGCCGGGGTCGTAACCCTTGTGCTCCCGTATCGGCAGACGGTTTCGTGCCGAGAAAGGAACGAGAACTCGATGATCGTGTTCTTATATGCCGATGAAACGAGCTTATCGACGATGTCAAATTTATTTTACGAACAATTGAAATGACCATAAATAAGCTGATGGATATAAATTACGAGGACTTGTTCTTCGGGTGTTTTGCGTGTTTCAGTTCTCAGTCATGTCGTCATTTTTACGGTGACCAGCATCTTATCCGCAACATTCGCTAACTAGCCAGATAACTATCGTCTCTTCATCCACTAATCTTCTCCACTCCCAATGTCGGGCGGTTGATGAGCCCTTGCTTTAACCTTCTGTTGCCGTGATCGCACAAGACCGCCCTTTTCCCTTGACCACCCGACTAATTTTCGATCTCTTCTATCTCCATTGACTGTGCTTGATTCAAAGCCTCTTCTTTGGCTCAGTCAATTGATAGAGTCGAATTTTGAGCGTCAACAACTACCCCCGATTGTCCGGCGCACAAAGATGGATGATCTCCGTCCATCTCCGACGTCGACTCCAATCCACTCAAAGAACCGATAATAATTGTCTCATTATAGAACTAAGCATGACATTTCTAAACATTAAAATCTCCTACTAAATATGATTAGTTGCACAAATTCATAATTAATAAACTATATGATTATGGCATTCAAGTCTTGGAACAGACTTGTTAGGAAGCACACCATAGGTTGAGCTTTTGAATGCGGTCATTAGTTTCACGAATGTTAGCTAATTTATTCACGTCCCTCATGATTAATCATTCCACGCCGGAAATCTTGATTGACTATACTCTTTACTTTCTCTTGCGTGACGAGGTGTCTAAGGGTACAACATTGGTTATATATATGGACTTACCTCGGAGCACATATGCATGTAACATCATTCCGTTTGACAACTTGGGTTTAAGTTGAACTTTTCAACGATTTTTATTTTGTAAAATATTCTGAAGAACAAGCCAGGGATTATGCTAATGTATAAGGTATTTAAAACTTCCGACCAAAAAAAAGTATTTAAAATGTTCATTGTGTCGTGCCATAATAACATGTGAAGAAATAAATTAATCGCAAATAGAAATTCTTCAAATTTGAAAAAGTATTTAAAATGTTAAATGTGTCGTGCCATAGTAACGCAAGAAGAAATAAGTTAATCGAGACTAGCAATTCTTCAAATATTCAAATTTGAAGTTGATTGAGATACATAAATGTGATTAACCGATTAAGTTAACCCAGTAAGTAAAGACTTTCTCGGCTTATAATTGGACAATTACTTGAAAGTTGTTTGTAAAAAATTCATATTAGCTAGAGAATCATCAATTTTATCCACTTTAATTTCTCATGCTTGAATTTGGGAGAAAACCACCAAACCCCAAATTATGCTAACCGTGACATATTTACTATGTCCTTTTTTTTTTTTTTGGTAAAGTTTACTATGTCCTTTTTTTGTGCCTAAAATTTTCAAACTATTCCCATTGTGACACATTCACCCTAAACTTTTTCTTGTGACATAAAAAACTCCAAACTTATACCTATATGACATATTTACCCTCCGTCAAGGTTTTGTTAGAAAAATTTTCAGCCAAAACAACGTTGTTTTTATTTCACTTAGGCCACGTGAGCACAATTCTAACACCATTTACCTTCCAGCGTCAATTTAGGCAGGTTTTTAATGGTGATCATTGACAAAACCTTGACTAAGGGTAAATATGTCAAGCAAGTACAAATTTGGGATTTTTTGTATCACGGAAAAAAGTTTAGGGTAAATTTTTCACCGTGTGCATGATAATTTGAGGTTTTTGTTGGCTTTTCTCCTTTGAATCTTAAAGTCACTTATGTAATGTATGACATCATGGCTTAGATCAGCATATGCCCAAGTGTTCTTAGGTTGGCATCCTCATTCGACATGGTCCCCCGAGAATTTCATCAGTCATGCAACTTAAATCTTTTTATCATCATCATCATCATTATTATCATTATTAAGTCCTTCACCAAAAAAAATTGTTTTGTGTTCACCTTGCTTATTCTTTATTTTGCCAAAAAAAAAAAAATTCTTGTGCCTCGTGCGATTAGCCATTGATCTCCTTACGGTTCAAGCTAGAATCGAAATTCCAGCGGCGGCATTGCCCCTTGCAAATACCGGCTTGCATGGATTCATCACGTGCTCAATTTTCAATTACATTAGTAAAGGCAAAATAGTCAGCCTACGGTTGTCCTCATTGGCACATGCAAGGAACACGCCCAAATTGAAACATGGATTTCATCTCCGAATGCATTTTGCGTGATAATAGGCAAGTGAAGTACTTTCGAACCAATTCGACCAAAAAAAAAGGAACTAGGTGAAGCTTGGAAAAGTGAAAATGAAAATGAATTTTCCCCCGATTAATTTTTATGGACCTATTGTGGTTTTACTGTTTTAGCCGTCGGCTGGTATCGGGACCAGCTCCCGCACATGTCGGCTAGTTCATCTTCACAGGGCGATCTTAAGGACGCACTCCTCCATATAGACTCAGTGCATTCATAATTCTACTCTTGAAACGTACGTGTTCCCGATAAAATTGAACCTAATACCACAAGAAAAAAAGTGACCTTTCTTGGTATCTAAATCTATTGGCTACCAACCTAATTTTTACTCATGTGAAATTGAAGGGAAAAGACAAAGTGGGAATTTTAATTTATGTGAACTTGAAGGTAGATATGTTAAATGGGTGGGTCGAGTCGGGTCGGGTTTTGGTCGGGTCGAAAATTGTTTCGACCCAAATAGACACATTTAACCTGTTTTGATCCATTTCCATATAATACAAATCTAATTACTCATACCTGACCAGCACACAACCTAGACCCGACCCGACCCATATTAGTAAAACACTTCCATATTTAACTCAATCTTGAAAAACTCAAACCCAAACTAAGACAAGAGTGCAGAATGAGTGAACACGAGATTAAGTGAAGGCGAGAGAGATGAGTTGAGTTTAAATAAGTTGTATACCCATTTATGACCCATTTAACACCTATATAATATTTCTACCTATTTATGATCCATTTAGTGAATATAACTAACACATTTATGACATACTTACTGATATATGGGTTTATGGCCCATTTTAACATATCTACTTGAAGGTATAATTATTTTTTTTTATAATTGAAAATGCATTCCACAACATAATAAACTTTTATGGACCAAATGTATTGATACCCCCTATCTTTTTTCAATATATATAACCAAGTTGCTGAAAAATTCTTCTTTTTAGACCAATTGGGTTCTTGAGATATCCACTTTTTCTTTTATTTACTTTAGACCTTCCATCGAACCAAACGGCGGAAATGGTTAGGTGGCGACACTTGATTTGGAGTTGACTCGCTCAAAAGCCACTCTCGTTGACGGGAATTATCGCGAAAATGTAGTAATCCTTGTGCTTGATATCGACAAATGAAATCATGCCGAGAAAGGAGTGAGGACTTGATGATTGTGTTCTTATGCAAACAAAACAAATTTATTGACGACGTCAAATTTATTTTCGAAGAATAAGAGCAGAGGTTGAATTAACTAAAGGAAACGAACATCTAAAATAACCGTAAATAGACTGCCGTAAATAAATTGTGAGGAATTGTTCTTCAGGTATTTACGTGTTCTAGTTCTCAGTTGGGTCGTCCTTTTTTATAATGACTAGCATCTTCAACTGCTCCGTAACATTCGCTAACAAGCCCGACAACTATCGTCTCTTTATCCACTAATCTTATCCACTCTCAATGTTGGGCAGTCGATGAGCCCTTGCTTTAACCTCTTGTCGCTGTGATTGCACAAGACCGCCTTTTCCCTTGACCACCCAACTAATTTTCGATCTCTTCTATCTCCATTAACTCTGCTGGATTCGAAGCCTCTTCTTCGGCTTGGTCAATGGACATAATCGAATTTTGAGTGTCAACAATTGCCTCCTGATTGTCCGGCGTTCGAAGATAGAAGATCTCCATCCATCTCCCACATTGAACATTACCCATTCAAAGAACCTACATTAACAGTCTCGTTAGAGAACTAAACAATACAATTGCAAACATTAAACTCTCCTACTAAATATGATTAGCTGCACAAATTCATAATTACCTATCTGATTATGGCATTCAAGCCTTGGAACGAGCTTGTTAGGAAGCACACCATAGGTTGAGCTTTTGAATGTGGCATTAGTGTCACGAATGTTGGCTAAATTATTCACATCCCTCGTGATTAATCATTCCACACCAGAATCTTGATCGACCATACTCTTACTTTGTCTCGAATGACAAGGTGTCTAAGGGTGCGTTTGGTAACCATTTTATTTTCGAAAATAATTTCTGCTCAGAAATGATTTTTTTTTTGTTCTCGGAAATAATTTCTAGACATTTGAAAGCGTTTGGTAATGGCCCAAAATTTCCATTCCCGGAATAAAAAAAAAAACAGAAATGGGTTTGGTAACTGCACAAAATTTATTTTTAGTAATAATATTTTAATATTTTAATATTTCTTTCTTTCTTTTGTTCTTTTTTTCTTCTTCTCCTTCTTGGCCATGGCCGGCGACCGGCCGGCGAGGGCATTGCGGCCCTCACCGGCAAGGGGGACTCTCGCCTATAGCCAGTCACCGACGAGGGGAACCCTCGCCTGTGGCCAGTCGCCAGCGACCCAACCATGGCCAAGAAGAAGAACAGGAAAGAAGAAAAAGAACAAGAAAATCTTTTCTATTTCTAATTATTGTTCCCAGAATCAAGAAGCAATTTTTTTTTGCTTCTTGATTCTGTTCTTCTGTTCCAAAAATGATTCTGGGAACAAATTTGTGCAAATTTGTGCTCGGGAACAAAAAATTTATCAAACGGATTTCTGTTCCAAACCTGATTTTTGGAAAAAAAGAATAGAATCAGTAACTATTTGGCTAATTACCAAACGCACCCTAAGCGTCCAACATTGGTTATATATACGGGCTTACATCGGAGAACGTACGGATGCAATGTCTTTCCATTTGATAACTTTGGATTTAAGTTGGACTTTTCAAGGATTTTTATTTGGTAAAAGACTATGGAGAACAAGTCAGGGATTATGCTAATGCATGAGGTACTTTAAAAATGTTGAATGTGTCATGCCGTAGCAACACGTGAAGAAATAAATTAATCGCGAATAGAAATCTTGAAATATTCAAATTCGAAGTTAATTGAGATACATGATAAATGTGATTGACCGATTCCTCTAAGTTAACCGAGTAAGTAGAAACTTTCTCAGCCTATAATACAATTACATGAAAGTCGTTTGTAAAATGTTCATATTAGCCGGAGAATCATTATTTGTATCCACTTTAATTTCTCAAGGTCTAAATTTGGGAAAAAGCCATAAAAAAAACCCCAAACTATTTACCATGAACTTTTTTTTTTTTACATTAAGATCCTGAAATTATGCCTACTGTGACACATTTACCCTAAACTTTTTCTTGCGATATAAAAAAATTCAAACTTGTACCTAAGATTTCGTCACATGGTTTCTGGCCAAAATATCGTTTTTATTTCATTTAAGTCACGTGTGCGCCGTTTGGCTTCCGGCGTTCATGTATCCAAATTTTTAACAGCACTCATTGACGAAACCTTGATGGGGGTAAAAATGTCACATAGGTACGAGTTTGAGATTTTTTGTGTCACAAAAAAATTTTAGGGTAAATTTGTTATAGCCGGCGTAGTTTGAAGTTTTTGTTAGCTTTTTCTCTTTGAAATTTAAAGCCATTTATGTAATGCATGACATCATGGTTTGGATCAGCATCTTCCAAAGTCTTCGTAGTTGGCATCCTCATTCAGCATGGTTCCACGAGAATTTCATCAGTCATGAAACTCAAATCTTTTGTTATTATTATCATTTAAGTCCTCCGATTATTGTGTTTTCAACTTGCTTATTCTTATTTTGCCCAAAACAAAATATTCTCATGCCTCGTGCGATTAGCCATCGATCTCCTTAAGGTTCAAGCTAGAATCAGAAATATCAAGATCCGGCCCGATATTTTCGTCTCGTTCGACAGGAAATTCCATCGCCGGCTTCGCGCCGTGCGAAATCCGGCTTGCATGGGATCATCACGTCCTGAATTTTCAATTACATTAGTAAGGGCAAAATAGTCAGCCTCTGCTGGTCCTTATGGGCATGTGCAAGGAACATGCCCAAATTGAGACATTCGGGTTAAGGACTTGCTAAACCATTAGGAGTAGCTAAGCCATGTTCTTGCCATGTTCTTCTTCATTGATTGGAACGCCATTTCAACATGGATTTCCATCTTCCAGTACACTTTGCGTGAGAATAGGCATGTGAGTCGAAGAAAATAAAGTACTAGGTGAAATTGGAAAAGTGAAAGTGAAAATGAATTTTCCGACGGTCTAATCTTTATGGACCTATCGTCGTTTTTTCTGTTTTGGCGGTCAGGTGGTACCTGGACAAGCTCCCGCACACGCCGGCTAGTTCATCTCCACGGGCGATCTTGAGGATGCACACCCCCACA